CGCTTTGAAATAAACCTTGCTTTGAATCAAACGTGGAGTTATTTCGAATGCCTGGGGATCCAACACATATTAGTACTCCTAACAATACTACTTCATATCCTGTTGTTGTTGTCGTTGTTGTGTCTGTTGTTAAAGGAGGGGGCTCTGTTCTCCAGGTTCCTCTGGAAGGCGGTACAATCCAAAGCAGCAATCCATGACCTCAGATGGGATGATAAGAGAAAGTAGGCTAAGCAGCCTTTTAACCTCACTAAATATTCTGCTTAGCTAGACTGTGATAGGGAAAAACAGTTAAGAAAGAGTTACTGTTTGGAGGTGAGTGGATTCTGCCTCCAAGTGGTCTGGAAAGAAACAGCTGTGGATGGTGGCTGCTAGAATTGCTGCTAGATTATTGCTTTTGTTTCCAAATTGCCTAATATAAACCAGTTTGCTTCCTTTGCAAGTTGCTAGGATCAGTTCTTTGGGCAACCTGGAGGATCTTCGTAAACTGTCTTTATAATAAAGACACAAATTTTAAAGCTATAAATATTTAAAAGGAATATGCAGAATAATAAATAGAAACTATACCCATCTATTGACATTACTTAAAGGATTTTGATTCTACTTCCTCCTACTTCAATGGGAATAAATGAACTGTAGTTTATGAGAGTTTTATAACTCTCATCTGCACTATATGAACTCTATTCTAATTTTCTTATCTGTTAAATGCATGGATTGTTATATTACTTGAATTATGACACCTAACACTGAAGTAGAATGTTTCACACAAGAACTTCTGTGTAAAATGTTCAGCCACACTTGGGAAATAATGGAACAGTATATATAATCCCGAATCTTGTAAAAATCAAGCCTCTGTGTTAAATAAGAATGGAGTTAACAAGCGCCCCTGCTGGACTCCCTTGTCAACAGAAAATATTTTAGACAGACCTCCTTTTAGGCTACAATGGAACTGAGCACTCTAGTCAATATGAAGATTTTCTATCAACCATCAGAGGTCATTTCGGGGGGGGAACGCGGGGGAACGCAGTTCCCCCGGGTGAGGTGCAGGGGGCGGGGCACATGACGAAGCCCCGCCCCCTGCTTCCGGCCGCCCCGCTTCCAGCCCTCATTCAGCCAGGAGGAGGCAGGAGAAGAGGGAGGGTAAGTTGCTTCCTCTCCACCTCTCCCCACCCCTGCCTGCCTGGGGCCAGGGAGGGCCTTGGCGGGGCTTCCTCGCACTCCCGCTGGCCTTGCAGGTCCACTGCCGGGCCCCTGATGTCAGGGGGTGTGGCATATGCTAATGAGTTATGCTAATGAGTTCCCCTAGCTCTTTTTCTACGAAATGACCCCTGTCAACCATAGTCGTCATCTGCCCATAGTGGATTTCCTTAATTTGTTCCAAAGTCTTGATCTAGAGATGCTGCCCAATAATCCTTTAAGATCCATAAAGGCTACATAAAGAACTTCTGAAAGTGAAGTATATTTTTTGGCTAAATGGAAGAGAATGAGTCTGTGATCTAAAGTAGAACAACCACTTCTGAAGCCAATTTGCTCCCAGCCTAAGATGTTATTAGAGTCCATACATTCCAATAGCTTATTCAATAGATAATAAGAGTATAATTTGCCTAAGCAGGATAATAAAGAAATTGGACGGTAACACGCTGGGCCAGAGCAGGACACTTTTTATAATATGGGACTATGACAGTTTTATGTTTATGCCGGCCACATGACCACGGAAACGTCTTCGGACAGCGCTGGCTCTTCGGCTTTGAAACGGAGATGAGCACCGCAAGCCTGGAGTCGGATTCGACTGGCTTTCGAGCAAGGGAACCTTTACCTATGACAGTCTACTGCCAAGTGTATGGAGTGTTACCGGAGGCATTTGCCATACTAAAGACTGGGGCTAAAACTTCAACCCACCAGGTAGGATTAATTTTAAATATCTCATCAGGAGTTAAGTCTGCGGCTGGGGCTTTACCTGCACGTAGGCAAGAGATAAGGTGTTCGACTAGTTTAGGAGTGACTGGCGGCCAAACAGGAAGAATGTCAGGAGAAATAGTTAAGATTGAATTTGATTCCACTGAGGAAAAGAGAGGACTGAAATAGTTAACCCAGATGGATGATGGAATGTAAAAAGGGGTATTATGATAGACCTTCATTCCTAACAGCATTTAGTGTTCAGTGCAGCCATTTATGTATTTATGAATACATCTTAATGAAAATACAGTAGTCTGCCCTATTTCTGATGACAAATTTTGCCGCATGAAAAAAGGAGATGCATGTAAAATAATGCAACCTAACAAGAATCCACTACAAGGTTTTTAATCATGCTGCTGACATAGGTTACCCATTTGCTGTTCTTCGAATATTAATTGCTTCTGACTGTGCTGAATCTAAAAGACTACATCTTTCATCACATGTAACTTAATGTTGGTAACATTCGCTAGAAATTTTTTCGGTTGTATACTGCTTTATGGTATTCACTGGTTTTAAATTTGTTTGTAGATTGTTGGATTATAAAATAAAATAAAATTGTTATCAGAATGCAGATGCATTATCATTAGCAGCTGAAGCTATTTATTGCAGCTATTTATTATCATCATCATCATCACTATGCTTTTCTTCCCAGTAGAGACCCACAGTGGTTTGCAAACTCATTCTCCCTTCCTGTAGTTTAAAAGTGTGTTGTTTTATACATCCCCCCCATTAATCCAAGAACATGTCTTCAGCACAGGCACGCACTAAAAAGATGAGTGCCTATATGTATTTGCAGAGAATGTATCGAAACAAATGTTTGCAGTGCAAAACACAAAGCAAATGCAGATAGATGAATTAAAAAAAGAAATACAAGGATCTTTCCAGAAAATATTTTTTCACCTAGTTATTTATTTTGGGTCGTTGTTCAAATTCCTTCCATCCACTGTAGTAGTACAGTATTTACTCAAATGTAAGACTAGTCCCCCCCCCCAGATATGCCATCAAAAGAGAGAGGGGGTCTTACATTCACATACAAGTGACAATCTGGGTCATAAAGAGCCCAGGGGGCGGGCACATGCCACAAGCCCCACCCCCTGCTCCCAGCAGCCCTCAGTCAGAGCAAGAAGCAACCAGGTAAGAGCTCCCCCACCCCTGGTCCAAAACAGTCCAGTGGCACCTTTAAGACCAAGTTTTATTCAGGTACAAGCTCTCCCTCCTCTGCGAGGACAGATCTGCACATTTCCCCCCCACCAATAGCTAGCAATCCAAAACAGTCCAGTGGAGCCTGAGTGGTGGGTGACACACTTCCTATGTCAGGGGGTGTGGCATATACAAATGAGTTATGCTAATGAGTTATGCTAATGAGCTCCTGCACCTCTTTTTCTACGAAATGACCCCTGGTGACAGTTATGTCCAATAATATTTTTTGGGGGTGTAACACTTTTAAAGGGATCATATTACATTCAGGATTGTCTCTCTATAAGTAAATATAGTATTTAAATTGTGCAGGTGTTGCATTTCCCCCACACCAAAATATTGATGTTTGAATATGTTCACCCCTTTTTCTGGAGTAATAAACAGAGTTAGGGCAATCATATGGAAGCAAGATAGGTTATATCACTAGTAGTCTCTGTGCCACTGAAAGCATATTTGCCCTGTGTGTTTTTTAACTGACTAAAAAGGACTCAATAGATCTGATAGTGCATTAAGTGTACCAAGTACTGTTATCATTTGGTGATTCACCAGTGGAAATACAGAAGCAAAACTACATTGGTTGAAAACCATCCTATGTATAACTGGGTTGTTTACCCAATATCTATATTATATTAGGGGAAAAGGTAACTTTCTACAGAACTGCCAGAGGATACCAGCTATATTAGATTCTGGAGCTGCCACTTGGTAATAAACACCACTTCAGTGGAAAATTCCAGATAATTGAATTTTAAAAAGCTTATGCCCCTGTAAGCCGCCCTGAGCCCACTTGTGGGGAGGGCGGGGTAAAAATACCTAAATAAATAAATATAAATAAAATAAAATTCTTGTCTGTTGTATCAAAATCGACAACATTCCAGTTGCGCCTAACAACATTTAATTAAACAGGAGCCTGCGTCAGTTACCGCTTCCTTCTTCAGACACAGCGGTGGGACGGAGTTTAAGCAGAGTGCTAACTTCGGCTGAATCTACATTTGTCTCTCCCACCGGTGTCCCAGCCTTTTGACCCCGTCTTCAAAAAAAAGCTGTCTACATTTAGTGTCGTTTTTCACACCTCGAGGGTGCTAGCATGTTTTTGCGCGACCGCATATGTTTATCGTCCGTTGGGGGCGGCGCCTCCGCACTGCTCTAAAAGAATCTCCTCCAAACAACATTCAGACAAGCATAGAGAAAGACGGCGTCGCGCGGCAGCACGAAAAAAAAGAAGGCAGTCCAGATCAATGTTCCCTCCAAGCTGTGGAGTCTTGTGAGCAAGAGTTCTCCTTTGTGAGCGACTGGCATTAAAGTTGCGAGCGAGTAATCTGGCTACTTGCATAAATTACTTTGCCATGGATAAATTACTGCATACATTACTTTGCCCTTCCTGAGCTAAATTACTGCATACATTACTTTGCCATAAATTACTTTGCCCTTCCTGAGCTAAGACAAAAATGTGTGAGCCGGAGGCTAAAAAAACTGTGAGCTAGCTCACACTAACTCAGCTTAGAGGGAACACTGGAGATAGAGCGAGAAGACTCCCTCGCGCTTCCCTTTCTCCTTGCCAATCAGCAGCCACAACTCGGTCAGAGCCTCCCGGGCGCCTCCCATTGGCTTTCCCCCCTACGTCGCTCACCATCCCTTCCGCCCATACCCCAGCGTCGACGTCACTGCGATTCTATCGTCAAGTCCCACCCACTCCCTTCAGCGCCACGTATCTTCAGCCAGCGCACCTCTCCGTCCCGTTTTCCCCAGCGTTGCAACACTGAACATGGCTGCCTCGCAGCCGCCCAATCGTGACTCTACGCGATGCCCCGAAGGAGGGCAGACTCCGCCAATCCGTGCGCGCCGAGGGGTGGGACCGATTGCTATGGGAACGGGAACTCGGCTTTGCAGGAGACCTGCTTCGGGGGGTGTCGCCGCAAAAGAGAGAGAGAGGAAGAGGGGGAGTAAGAAGAAAGCGCCCGGCAATTCTGCTGCTATCCCTGTGGGTTGCAAGGGCTGCTTCTCTCCTAGTGGACGCCTTTACAGAGAGGGGAACGGCTCATCGGCTAAAGGCAAAGACGCTCAGGATTACTCTGACTTTTATCTCCATAAGCGATGCATCGTAGCCAGCTCAAGGTAAGGTCTGTCTAATGCTGGCCCGGGGGGGGGGGATTGGCTGTGTGTTGGGAATCCCCCCCCCCCGCCTTCTCTTTGCTCTTGGATCCTTGGGCTTGTAAAGCCAGGTGGGCCAGGTGTTGTCCCAAGTTTCTTCTTTGCCCAACAGGTTATTCTATTAGCATCTTTCATCCTTTGGAGCCGTTTGAGTGGTGACTGTTTGGTGACCCCCAACATAAGGGGCGGGGGGGGGTGACCCCCTCCCCAAATCCGTATTGCTATTGTTGGTACTGAAGGACTTGTTCTCTGGCATTTCAGAAGTGTGACAGCCGACATGGTATATTAAACACATTGATGGGAGTCTGTTCCCTCTAAGCTGTGGAGTCTTGTGAGCTTTGAGTGGTGACTTGTTTGGTGACCTCCAACATAAGGGACGGGGGGTGTGTTACCCCCCAAAAAATCCATATTGCTGTAGTTGGTACTGAAGGACTCGTTCTTCTCTGGCATTTCAGAAGGGTGACAGCCGATGCAAGAAGACATGGTATATTAAATGCATTGATGGGACGTACTGTTCAAAAGAGGTTAGCATGCGGGATGCTCACCTTCGAGTGGCAGAATGAATGCCAGTAAGTAAGCTTCCTTAGGTGACATCCTTTTGCCAGAGAAGAAAGGAGTCTGCTAAAAGTGTCAGTAAGAAGCCTCATCGCTTACACAAAGCATGCTATTTAATTATTTAATTATTCTGTACAGCAGGGGTACACACATGGATTAGACAATGGAAACTTGTTCAGGCATTCTGCTTCGGTCTCTTTGGCTGACTATAAAATGTAGCGATAAACAGATTTACTACACCTTATACTTTCATGCTGGAACACAAAAATATTTGAAGCAGTAGGCAGGTGCTCATTACATTATCGGCTGGGATGGTAATTATTGCAGAGGAGCGTCTGTGTTAATCTGTTACGGCCAAGCAAAAATGGTAAACTTGTGGCATTTTAATGAGTAACAACATTGTATTCCAGCATAACCCCTTTTGTGAGTTGGAGACAACTTTTGATGCTGTGGGTGAATTTCCCCTATGCAGTCACTTTATAAGAGAGTTGAAAAAACAGGATCAAAGGGGCAGAAAATACAGAAAGTACAGAATGAAATGTAAGTATATAAACCTCGCATCTAATCAGGAAAAAAGCAAATACCACTAAACTAGTTACGCCAAGATAGTTAATACCTGTAATAGATGGTGTATCACAGTTTAATTAAAGATAGTCATAAACATAGTTTATAGTGAGAGAAAACAGTAATTTCTCTTTCCTCTGAGGAGGATGTGTGTGTGAAACCTCTTAGTAAATTTCAAATAAATAGCATCACATTGTAGTGTCCAGTTGATTACATTTCTACAATGACATTTTTTGGAGCCATGGCAACCAGGCTTCCTGGATTTGTCAATCCCTGCTTTAAGGTGCCACAAGATGCCTGTTTGTTTCTGTTGAGATAGGTATATAGTAACCAAAATCTACGAGTAAGCTACCTGATTGTCATAAGTTTAATTAAGTCTGGAGCTGTATGTTCTAAAACCTGGCTCATCTTGTTCTTAAAAATGTATCTTATAAGTCAGCCACTCCAAAGTTAATGGAGCTCTAAGAAATGGTGTTTGGGAAATCTGCAGGTAAACAAAGCTAGCTGTCGTGTTAGTGTGTGGGATACTAATCTTTCAATGGCAGAATGTCGCTAGTGTGTTTGGGTTATCAAAACAATGGTAATTTGTGTCTACTGTTAAAATAGTAGGCGATAATAAATGAAAGTACTGAACCAAACACTTAATTGTTGTTGATGCGTTTACAACTTTATGTTAAAACCTTGTAAAAAACAAGCCTAGCTTTTTTTATTTACAAATGCACCCGACTGGGGTTTTAAGTAGTTCAAGGCTGAGTCATAGTTTTAGACAAGATACACGTTGACTAACTCCACCTATGGGTAACTACTGAAGGTTTAAAGTGAACTTGAGTAGTTGTGGCTTTCATAATACAATGATCTCATTAGCAAAGAAGCTGTTCCGATATCTGCTTTGTTCAATTATAGTGAGGTGTATTTGGAAATGAAAGAAACCAATCCTTACCGTCCTTATATTGAATACAGGATTTCCAATATTGAAATGGACTGATGCTGAGAGAACAGCAGGTTGGTTGATGCACGTGTGTTGAAATCTTCTTCCATTTTTGGTTGATCAGCTGCTCAGTAAGATTAGTGAGCTCTAACTTGTCAGTGGGAGCTTTACATTGCACCCTGCAAGCCATGAAAGCAAATGTAGTTAAAAATTCTGTTATACTTCTGTGTCTCTCTGACCTGATCTAGATAGCCCAGGCTAGCCTTGACTCATGAGACCTGAGAAGCTAAGCCGTGTCAGCCCTGGTTAGTACTTGGATGGCACACCACCAAAGAAGTCAAGGATTGCTACATAGAGGCGGGCACCTCTGTTTGTTTTTTGCCTTGAAAACCCAATGGGGTTGCGATAAGTCAGCTGCGACTTGTGGGTGCTTTCTGCCGCCATTGTATCTCTACTTTTTCTAGCATGTGATTGTACCAGAAACTTTAAAAAAGGCAAATAAACACATTGAATTGGCAGCAGTGTGCAATTCCCTGGGTGTAATAGCCATTTGGCTACTAGAGGAGACTTTCCACACACCTTTGAACCTTATAATATGTTTGCAGCTTATTTCAACAAGGATCTGTTACTCCAGTGTTCTATTCTTTCAGATTGATTAACCATTATGTATGAAGTCCAGTAAAACATGGAGACGTGTATTCACCCTTTAGTTAATTATATATAACTCTCACTAACATTTGTAAGCCACGCCTGATGTGTCTTTCTCTGACTTGTAAGGAGTGATATAAATGTTAGGATTTAGGATATCCAGAGTAAATATGTTATTGGTACATCTGCTTTGGCACCTCAAATGTATCATTTAGATTCAAAGTGGATAGTATCAGTATGTTGGTTGCCTCACAACTTTTTCTAAACCAAGTCTAAACTTTGATCATATAGATAGTACTTCCCGCGTGCACTTTAAATATCCATTAAAAGAAAGAATATTGTGAATATCTCAAGTAGTATATGTTACA